AAATATTTTATTAAATTGATTTGTTAGTTGGTTATACTTACCAATAATAATTCAGAATTACTGATAATTTTATTTGGATAAAATTGTTTCGATTTACTTTCTGTACTTTCCGTAGTAAAACTGTCGCTGCTTTCAATACTAGGTGGAATCCAACTCACCTAGAAATACATAGGTATAAGAAAAAATTGTTTTATTTACTTTATATTTTTATTACCGATGATGTCTTGTAACTGGCCTCTTCAGAGTCTGTTTCAGACTTTTTCAACTAAAAAATTTATATAAAACAGTTTTATTTGTGGTATATACATTCTAAATTTGTAAAATTAAAAATATTGCCTAAAAATAAAAATATTGATCTCGCGTTTTTTAACCCAATCGGAATGTAGAATGTTCTATCTTATTTTTATCTGATTTTAAGTTTTAATTTTTTGATAAGAAATTAGTTGAAATATTTTTACCATACTAGATTTAATACTGACAGTTACCCAAACAAATCTATAATAAAGAATACAATTTGTCATTTAATTTGTATAAAGTATATTACTTCGAAAATACAACTCTGCCTGGAGACTCATTGTAAATGCTGCTTTAGGATTAATCATTATTAGTTCAAATATTTTTATTACTCATTAACCATGAAAATATTTCTAACTCACAAATATTTTAAATGTTCATTTCCTTTTTATTTTTTAAATTTTGAATTTCGTTAATTTAAATAAAACCTTTAACATTGACTTATACGTTTGATTAATTATCAATCAGATGCTTTTTCTAAACACACCCAATATTTTCGAAACACATCCAATATTTTTTCTATATATTTTTAAATTACCAGAATCACAAATCATTAAGTAATATTTTGAAGGTCCCAATAATTAGGAACTTTTAATTCAAGCTTCTTTGAATAACATTGCTAACAATGTTACCGTTATGCAGTGCGCAGTATGGTAACATATTCGAGAAAATGCTCGGACAGGTCGATTTTTATATTTAAACGAAGCACATTTCTATAACAAAAATACTATCTTTGTGACATCCCCTTCTACGAGATAGTTATCCTCTTAAAAATTATAATTACCAAAGGGTTTTTACGATAGCTAATTAAAAAGAGCTCTTAATTTTATATCGAAAAATGTAAAAAAAATCACAGATTTTGCAACACGCGCAAATATCCTATGCGTATTGAAAATAACAGACAAAACTCTTATGGCTTCTGATGTGATCACTCCTATATAAACATAATCAGTAATTGATTGATTTTTATTCAAATATTTCTACTTCAACTACTTAAAAAAAAAATATTTCATAAAATAGTCACTGATTAAAAGCATTTTCTCGCTAAATAAATACTGATAAATTTAAGAAATTTACATTTCTGTGAATACATAACTTTCCATAAAGCTCTTACTACTGTACATAAAACTCTAGCAAAGCTTGTCATAAAACAATATTGAGATAAAAATTTATATTTTTTTTGTTCATAAAACATTTTTCTAAAAAATTGGAATCCAATAATGATTATTAGCCATTTTGGAAGTCAGTAAAATACATTTTTCCCTAGCTAAAAATGATTATACTATTATCCCTGGTAGTAATCTGTCGATTATGTCAGGAAGACCAAAAAATTGCAGTACTATCCTTCCTTCATGAGTACTAACTACGAAGGTCTGTGGCTGAGATTTCTTACATTTTGACAAGAAAAACCAAGTGCAACTAAGTACACAGAAAAGGTACCTTTTCATATATGGAGTCTATCAGAAAATGGGAAACTATCAGTGCTC